AAAATTAGGACGGTAGGAGTATAGTTGTCATTCACTAATAAACTTACCATTTACATTTTACAACATTATATTAATTAATTAATTTTTTTTTTAAAGATTTTTTCTTTTTTATTTTATTTTTAGAAAAGGGGCAAGAAATCCCTTCTAAGGTGGAGAAGCAAAAACACCTTCATTAAAGAAATAATATTTAATATTGTGTAAAAATTGTCAAGCCAAATTAACAATTTCAAGCCAAATTAACATATATATGGCAAGAGTTCTTAACAAATAATAAAATAGTAATAACACTTTTAATATACAATAATGTCAAAGCAAAAACACCTTCACTAAAGAAGAAGATATTTAATATTGTGTAAAAATTGTCATAGTCTATCTCAATTTATATATTGAAATTTAGCAAAATAATTACACCATAAGCCCTTTTTTATCTTCTACAATAACTTCAGCTACAAAATATCATATTTCAATCGCCTGAAAAATATAAACAAACTAATAAATAAAATTTACAAATCAAATTAATTGGCACAAAACTTAGAACTTCATCAAATGCATTTTGTTAGATAAAGCTCATACAAGTGTTATATCAAAACTTTCACTACGCAGTCATTAATTTTTCTCTGCGGACCATCAAAATTACAATAATGTGGATACTACATAAAAATAACTCATTGACTGATAACAATAACAATAATAATAATAATTGCAATGGGGGAAAAATACCTTAGTCAAGTAATGCATATCGTTGTGGTCTTGAAGCATACTTGAAAGGTGAAAATTTGAACGCTCTAAGTGATGAATAAACGGGGTAAAGGCAGTCAACGTATGCGAAAATATTGGGTAAGGTGCGCCACTATTATTTTGATGATTGTCTTCTCCGACTGTAAGTTGATCATCACAAGTGACAAAAAATGATATATTATTTAATAATTGAATAAGGGTAATAAATAAGGTAAAAAAAATAAAATTATCATATTTTATTACCTTGCTTTGCCTTCCTTTTTCTTTTCTCCAAAGTGCTTTTTAATCTTGCATTTTTTATTTCTGTGGCTTTCACAGTTGGTGAATTTAATATTTTTGGCTCATCCACAAGAGCATCACAAGTAAAATGATCATCCTCTTTTCTGAATTTTTGAAACACATTGATAGTTTCCTAATCTTTTTCATATTCCATCATCAATCGTAAAACGCACCATAAATTTGCAACATGTTCTTGTCTCTAATCTATTATATTTCCTCACTTCAAGTAACTCTCCATCCCTTTGAAACCCTTCCTTTGAACATAAAAACTCTCGCTGTTTAATATTTTTTGATGCATCTCTTCGAATATGACCTTTGCGGATACTAAAACCTTTTCTTAGAGCATATGAATTACATATATTATAAGCTTCTTCATACTTCAATTCCCACATTGAGTTCTTTATAAAAAAATTTCTCTACTATTTAAATGCTCCATTGAATATAAAACCTAATTAAAAAAACCTATCAAAAAACCATAGTAAAATCCATCCAACCGATATTAACAAAATAAATACAGTAAAAGATGATTTCACTTTCCATTTATATAATATAAACACTTAAAAAACTTAGAGAAATGAAATTAATAAATTAAAGCGCACCTATGATTTTGCTGGATTGTGAAGAAAGTGAAAATGCTTCTTTAGAAGATGGGTCCAATTTTTAAGGAGAAAGAAAGGAGAAGGCCGGAACTATAAAATAAGGATGGAGGCCAATGCACTTTTTAATTAAAAAGTATATTATTGGCAAAATTAATTTAAAATTGTATACATATTATTCTATGATAGGGTGGCATTCCACATGGGATCGTATGATCACCCCAACCAAAATTCTCTCCTCAGCCAGGGAGGACGTGATAAATGTTGGAAAAATTGAGTTTATGGTGACTTTGGCACAAATTTTGAGCGGTACTCGTTTGACTACTTCGGAAGATGAAAGTTGATTTATATTCTCCTCCGTGAGTACATCGAAATCATATATTTACTTGTCAAAAATGATGCTCGGGTGAATGAGAAATTGAAGCTCAAAGTATGCCATGTGAAAGGAGTTTGTTGGTGGGAAAAATAAATTTTTAAACTTTGTCCCACA